CTGTCCGATAGGCTCGGAGATAATTATTTCCTAAAAGAGAGAGGTCAGCGCCGCTCTCCGGCTCCTTTGTTCCGACCCCCCGTCACTTCGCGGAAAACTCGCCACGGCCTTGCACAAAAATCTGATCGGGGTCCCGGCGCCCCTGAAAAGTGTAAACCGAAAAGCAATTTACGTGATCCTGCCCACCGGACTTTCATCATTGATCATGGACGGTCCCTCCGAAGAGTTGCACCGTTCAAAACGGAGCATCATGAAGGTCGACCGTCAGCTGCCTCCGACCTCCCGTCCTAAAAATCGCATGGTGCTTTCATGCGCACCTTGTCGAAGGCGCAAGGTAAAGTGCGACCGCGCCAGACCGTGCAATCAATGCATCCGTTCGGGGATCGTAAATGCCTGCGACTATAGTCCCCGGACTCCCCCCGCCAATGCTCTTCCTCGTCAATCACCGTCACCGTCGCCTGTATCCTCACTGTCTCCCCGGCCAATGACAGTCTCTGCTTCTACGTACCTCCATCGATCACCTAGACTGGACCAGGCGCGAGATCCATCAACCCTCAACCAGTCCGCTGGTTGGCAATGTAACACCCATCGTACCGCAGAGGAGGCCTCAAGCGTGAATGTCCCCCATTGTCCACTATCACTTCTAGAGAGTAGTGCTCTGGGCCATTCACGACCTCCGGGAATGCACAAGGCCTCAACGCAGCCGCAGTCCTTTTTGTCATTCCGCGGAAAGCAGCAGAGGACCAGGTTCTTTGGCCGTAGTCACTGGGCTACTACCCTGCAAATGGTGAGACCGCCATACTTCGTCGCGCCTATTTCCCTACCATTGGCTGATCAGTTTCACATGCAGTTCCCAGGACTCATGGATCATCTACAAGACTATCGACGGATGAAGGAAGGTCCCTCGGCCTTCCGGTTTGAGGAGTATCTGGTGGCAAAACGCTATAAGAAAAGTCGACGACCGGCTGTGAAACACTGCCTCGAGAGCTCGCCGAGACGACACAAAGCCCGGTTTAGAGATCTGTTACCTAGTCGCCAGCTAGCGGATTATCTCACTCACTTATACCTCTCGCACTACGAGAGGACGTTTCGGGTGGTGCATGTGCCTTCTTTTCTCCAAGAATGGGCTGCCTTTTGGAACCCCGGGCCGACGCCCCCAGATGAATTTTGTGCAACAGAGATTTTTTTGGCGAAAGTATTGACCATGATGGCTTGCGCCAGTTGTATAGCTGATGATGAGGCAATTGCATTGGCAGGGTCAGATCGGTCATCCCTTTCGCAAAATTGCCGCGACTGGATTCAAGCGGTGATATCATTGATAGGCCCTGTATCCGACCATGCCCGCCTCAATCTCGATCTAATACAAGTAAAATGTTTGTTGATCATTGCTCGCCAGGCCACCGCATATGAAGGTGACTTGGTTGGTATAATAGCAGGTTCCCTGGTACGAGAGGCCACGATGGTGGGCCTCCACCGCGATCCAGCACATTTTCCAAACATGTCTCCATTTCAAGCGGAAATACGCAAACGACTATGGTTGACCGTGGTTGAGCTAGAGCTTCAGACGGTGCTACATCTAGGTGTCCCTTTAGCGCTCTCGTGGGAAGACTTTGACTGCCCACCCCCGTCAAACATTGACGATGAAGAATTTTCCGTCGATTCTCTTTCTCTTGCGCCCGAGCAACCCATTACGACTTCCACAAGGACGACTTTTCAGATTGTTCTAGCCCGGACCTTGTCAGTCAGGATGGAGATCGCCGGGATGATCAATCGGATTCGATTAGACATCAACACAACTGAAACTATGAGGTTGAGTGACGCTTTAACAAGCAATTTGGCCGAGGCTCCCGCGGAACTACACGAAGACCACTATTCAAACGACACGACCGATAGTACGAGCAGCTGGGCCACCTTTCAAAAGTCATTCTATCTCTTTCTTATGTGGAGATCTATGCTTGCCCTCCACCGACCTATCTTGCTGAAACTCGCTGATGTGCAGAATGAGCTGTTCTTGATCTCTCGAAGAACTTGTGTTCAAACCAGCGTAGCCTTATTGGCGCAGTTAGAATCGTTTTCGGATATCTCTCATTCCATGTCATCTTATCCTGGTCGCGTCTTCAGGCCTCACGTGCTGCGGCTGAGAGGTGGTTTGTTCCAGGATGATGTCTTTCACGCTGCCATTACCGTCTGCTATGAACTTCGTTTACAGCTCAAAGACAGCAGAACGTCCCCATTCACTGGTCCAATCTCAAATTTGATCACACAAAGCGCCTCGTATCATCGCTTGGCTCTCTTCCAGAGTATCGAGAACGGCATGCAGTATTTCGAAAACAAGGTCCGGTGGGAGGCGCGGGCCTGTAAATCCTTTTCCATCCTGTACATTCTGTTCATGACTATTAAAAGCCAATTTCCCACCCATACAATGTCCGCTAATAGCGATGAACGCTGCGAACCGAAGCCTTTGACGGTGGATGAGGCTTGCTCGAAGGCTTCCCGTCACTGTCTAGAGGTGTTGCTAGAAGGAGAAAGAATGCGTCACTTGATTGAGACTCCGGACGATGAAACAAGTCACGATGCGCCTCCTCCAAATGTAAGTGTTGTTTCTTGTTTCGTCTCGTTATCTGCATCACGCGGTTTGAGCACTGACCTAGAACTTCAATTCAGAACACAGTTCCAGACGGGATAGTGCAATCAAATGCGCCTTTGGGGACGGGTGATTTGAGAGGTGATATGGAGACTACGGCTATGGGCAGCGCATCGGATATGGCCTTCGTAAGTGATCCATTTTTTTGTCTCGAGTTTCTTTTCGCCATGCTGATTATGTGCTGTTGGCCATAGCGAGATATGGACTTCGATTGGAATATGCTACTTGATCCGCTGCCTTCTTATCTACTTCAAGGTTGGCCAGACGCGGAACACTTGTGGACCGTATGAAAGAAAAAGGACCGGAAAAAAACTTACAGGATGGATCGAAATCAGTTTCACCACTTGCACACGGAGATTCTTTCTCGAACCCTCTTTCAAAACACGCTATGCCTATTATAGTTACTCTATCCCTGACCCCGTTTCTTGGCAGTATTCCAATACGATTGTAAAAAACTGGAAGACGCGCGCGTCGCGCGCATCGGCCCTGAAACGACGGATAGAATGAGGTAGGGTAGGAGTGAATTGTGAGAGAAGAGTTGAATTGACGGGCTTTGATTGTTCATGCAAAGTACCAAGGATATGGAAACAAGCGAAAAAAGTTGAGTCATAATCAAAAGGAAAAGGAAATTAACCAAGGCCAAGTGCAAGTCAAGGCTAGATTTATTCAAAAAAATTAGTTGACGTGAACGAGTAACTATATATTCCAATTCAGAATTTACTTAAAATACATGGATTGCTTCCGACGAACCCACTTTCGCCAAGGTAAACCCAGCTTCGTATGGTGGCCCCCCTTCTTGGAACCAGTTTGCAGTCCATGTCACATGACCGACAGACACCCCGCTTTCATCCAATTTCATAGGATCTTATCTCAGAGGAATGATGTTCAATCTTCCCCAGTGATTTCTTACGCCTTCAACTATTCTATTCCTTTTTAGTGGTAGCGTCCCGACCTTGGAAGTCGCGTACATAGAGGAGGTGGAGACTAGCGAAGGTGTACCCAAGTGAATGAAAGGTGTGGATGAAAGGTGTGCGATGCCACGCAGGTCCTCCAGTACAATCTGGCCAAAAACTAAAAGAATTTCAGATTAGGCATATTTTTCTATTGCTCCTAAGTGGTATATTATCAAATTATATACCTGCAACTTGGCGATGGACCTTCCCAAGTTAGAGGAGGAAAAGCAATGGGCTAGCCGGAACATGCGCAATGCCCTCATCGGACTGGATATCGAAGACTTTGACAACATGCCACTTGAGGAACGACTTGGATTTTACCAAAGACATATGGTGTCATCCGGTTTCTTGTTGATAACTACAGATGAGGGGAGGTATGGCGAAGTCATAGGGCTGCGAGATATCACAACCATCTTTCTCTGTCGAAAGCACATGACTGGAAGAGATTGGCTGACGCGGGAGGCGCGACACTTCTACCTATCGAATAATTACTTTCGGATCCACGGTGAATTGGTGCCGAGTTTTCTTGAGAACTGCAACAACCATTTCTGGGATCCAGATGGTGGCATGGATCCAAAACAATGCATCACGAAGATCAATATTCTCCTAGATCCCCAGGAGGCAATTGAGAGCTATGGTGCAGCGCCAGTCCTTCTCTCGCAGATATTTTCTCTGCTAGAACAGTGTGGAGAGCAACTACAAGTTGTGGTTCTAGAAGTGCAGGAACAATCTCATGAAGTTTTTACGCGACTGTTAACTTGGCGGAGAGAGCTTGAAGCCCTAGACCGAAAACTTCAGCTAGGGGTTCTCATTATTGAGTTTGATGCACAGTCGACAACAAACCTAAGTCCTCGAATATTAAAGCTCCCTTGGAAGAAAGCGGAAGGGAAACAACAAAAGGTGTTTGAGGCGATGCAGGATTGGTGGTACCATCTTCGAAACAGTGAACAGGTTGATTATGACATTGAGAGTGATAATGATGCAAACCACGGCCAAGTTGACAGCAGGTAGAGTCCCTCGGGAGCTTTCTTTCAAGACAGTATCCTCTGGAACAATATTGCTTTTCTGTCATAATGCTAAGGATGGACAGTCTGAATGCGCAAATAATAAATATAAATCTATTTCGCTCACTTTCAGCGTAAATTATTACGTAGTTCCAGTCCATAGTCGCGACACTACTCCTGGAAAAGCAGTGGTGGTGACAATCAGGATATCCCGGGGGCTGAATAGTCGTAGGCAAACTTACCTGGCCATCCGATTAGATAACATCTCGGAACGAGGGGACAAACGCGAGGGGCATTTAAAAAAATGAGAGACGACATACTAAAAGGAAATGATAGTGGTGATAAACGGCACGGCGTTGCAATAAACCAAGGGACAACAAGCAGATGACGAAGCAATCATAGCAGCTTAACGTGCAGAAATATGCAGGTAAAACCCTACAACCCTAAGCCAAGACCATCTAGTCCGAAAAAAGCGACAATAATGCAGGTACCAGTGGACAGGAAGAGCGAATGAGCGACGTGCGTGGCAGAACGTTCCATCCGTAGTTAAGCCACCTTTTTTTGCAACGTCTCACACACACGTACATCCGTGTTGACTATTCCCTTTCTCTCACTTCGTTCGTTTCAGGGCATACACTTGGATTCGAAATTGGCTTCCATATTCAACAGGCACAGTATCTCAAACCCTGACACTGGGACCATGGTGAAACTACCTGGTCATTTAGCTAGCTTACAGAACTTCCTTCGTGTCACTTCAGTACTGTAAAGTATCTCACAAGGATTATGCACTACGTTTCCTGTATCTTTTAATTAATTAGTATTCTTTCTGCCAATTTTGCCTTGGCCGCCTAGGCGCCTTCCTAGGAACCCCTAAAAGGTCTGCCAAGACAGATGCCTAAAGGAGCAAGAATATTCTGCCATTTATTTCCGTCTTCTCGGACACATAAACCACCACCTGTTCCCCACAGGTTCTATTCTACCATCCTCGCATCAATTTCGACTTGCCATAGTGCACGGTACAATAACACGACATGGTGGGAAGACAAGTATCAATGATAAAACAAGATTACGGTGAAATCGGCCAATCATTAATTGATGAAATAACGGATACATTGCGTACTCGCAACGCAGCGTCGTTACTCTACATTGCCGAACAAAAATGCTTTCAGATCACTGGCTTCTCTGAAACACAGCGAGGAAAATGCGTTGAGATACTCTCTCGAGTGCAATCTAGTGCTTACCACTTAAGAATCAACGAAGAAACCGACCAAGACATCATACGTTTTCAACTCATCCCTATTTTAAGGGAGAGTGACCTTGACCGGATAGCGTACGATTTTGCTCGATCCGGGCAAATCCAAGGGCAGCGCGACTCCCGAAGCCGGAGTGCCATCCGAACACGATTGGAGAGACTGCGAGAAGAGCGACAGCTATTACCTCGAAACCTTTGATCATCTTCGTCTCGTCATATCTACGACAACGAGGGCGCAACCTACCTTACAGCAATGCGGCTAGCGCTCACAAAACCATAACGGTAGATATCTCGCACGGCGCCGGATGCTCCGAAAATATACCCCAACTCTCGCGCTTGCAACGACGTTATTTGTGGAAATCCGCCGGCCTTTTTTACGCTCTCCGTATGTGATCAAAAGAAGGCATTTCAATTCTACATATGGCACTGAATTTCTCGCCGCGGATTCCTCCATGCAATTAGCCATTCCGATCGAAAGTTTTGGGTTTCTCGTCTTTTGCGTACCTCGCCCTCGCTGTTCTATCTCGGCTCATTGAATGTATCAGTGATTGCTAAATAAGGACCCCTTGTCTCCTCTGTGTCATGCCAATTGAATGTATTATATTCAAATGAAATCTAATTCCTGGTGATTGACCAGTTCTGGCGTCTTGCCAATCGAAATGATTGGTAATATAGATAATGTAAGCTAGATTAGATCACATGACCTTAGTAAGCACATAGAATAACCGCGCGCTCAGAATATCTATTGGTCCAACTTCACCGCCCTGATTACGTGTTCCGACATGAACACCATAGCACGTGATAACGCCTTTCAATACGATTCAATACTTGAGACGGAGCTAAGTCGGAAATGGATTAGTTTGTTTCGCACTAGGGTTCGAGATAGATTTTATGGGTGCAAAGTGGTGAAACTAATTTCGATCCATCCTGTACCAATAGATGGATAACCGCAGACCACTTCCATCTATCGGCGGAACTGATTTGGTGGAAAGCAAGGACAGCGTAACTGCAATAGTGCACCCAGAGAAAGGATCCTGTACCGGAGAAAGTGTTGTGTACCGAACGGAAGGGATGGCGGACCCACATGCGGGAGGGCCCGAGCCCCCTCGCACGCCTGGAATGACAACGACCAACGCGTTGGACAACTTTAATCCAACCGCTGCGCCTCGGACCAGAAGACAGGCTCGGCCGAGCGATGGCCACACCACCGCGACGCGACCCGAGACCACGAGTTCCGGAGACAACAATGGACGCGTCACGACCCGGGAAATCTGCCGACTGATCGAAGGCCTAAAAGAAACGATCGCCTACCAAACCGAGCTCATCCAATCCACCAAGAACGAACTGCTAGAGGTGAAACACGACCAGAAAGTCCTCCACACGCAGAACGAGAAACTCCACGAGGAAGTTCGAGCCTTGCGGGCGCATATTGACGCCCTCCCTTCACCACAGGCCGCAAACTCATGGGCCACAGTAGCAGCGAGCCACCCACCTTCTCAACCAAACCACCAGCGCCCAGACAAGGACCAAGACTGCGTCCGAATCAGCACTCAGCGCTCTTTTATGGACCCTAGAGACAATGAAAACAACGGACCAAACACCTTTGGGCGATATCTCCCAACGGAGACCGCAAACCTCCAAATCCGCACGGCGCTGTCGAACGCACCGCACACACAAGACGCCCAAGTGGCCGGGGTGGGCACCACCAAAACTGGATATGTCATCCGGTTTAAAGACACAGAGTCAGCGGAAGCAGCCCGCAACAGCACAGAATGGCTGAACGAGCTAGGAAACAACACAAAACTGGTCAAGACGCGGTTCGGCGTCGTGGGA